CAAATAATTTTCAATGTAAATATATAAACATACTAATCTGTCTACACTTACAAAATAGAAAACATGGTACTCTGAAAACTTTTCCCCATTTAAATTTAAATTCTAGACACTCTTCTGTATTCAACAGTTATCTTTTTTTTTAAATCCTCACTCGAGGATATGTTTATTGATTTTAGAAAGGAAGGGAGGGAGGGAGAGAAAAAAGGAGGGAGGGAGAGAGAGAGAGGGAGAGAGAAACATCGTTCGGTTGCCTCCTAGACTTGCTCTGATTGGGGATAGAACCTGTAACCTTTTAGTGTACGGGACAACTCTCCAAACAACTCTCCAGCCAGGCCCCAACAGTTATCTTTTAATAGTAATGGATGCCTATTATTCCACTGATTATTCCAGAACTTAACCAATTTCATCACAACTGTGTATAATTATTTATATATTACAAATACAAACTTGTATATTCATCTCTATTTACTATCTAGATAATATACTTATCTTTACATTAAACCTCAAGTAGTATTTTCTTCAAAAGTATTCCCCAATTAACCCCATCTTTTTTTTTTTTTTAATCTTCACCCAAGGATATGTTCATTGATTTGAGAGAGAGAGAGAAAAACATCAATGTGGGAGAGAAACATCAACATATTGCCTCCCATACACAACCCAGGGATAGAACCTAAAACCTAGGTATGTGCCGTGACCGGGAATCAACCTTTGGTATAAGGGATGATGTTCTAACCAACTCAGCCACCTGGCCAGGGCAGCCCCATCTATTTTTAAAAACCCTACAGGATGAACACAGGCCCATTGTCTCATAATGACACTGCTACAGACATCTAATGCTTACATATTTTCTATCTTAATCTCCCATTAGCTTATAACTTCTTAAAAACAAATTGAATCTATAGGTCAAAATCTATTAAACACACCACATCAAGAAAAACTTTTTAATTTATAGTATTGCTGAGAAAATTAAAAATACCTCAAAGGGAATATTAAGAATAAACTTGTGCCCGGCCGGGCGTGGCTCAGCAGTTGAGCGTCGACCTGGGATCCAGGCGATCAGGGTTCGATCCCCGGTCAGGGCACATGCCCAGGTTGCAGGCTCTATCAATGACTCATCATTGATGTTTCTATCTCTCTCCCTCTCCTTTACTTTCTCTGAAATCAATATATATTAAAAAAAAAAAAATAGAATAAACTTCTTAGCAAATTGCTTGAAAGAAAATATATATTGCTAAATACAAATCTGAGTTTTTAGCATAAACTGGTTTCTACAAACTAAGTCATAGTTTCTTTTAAGCAACACTCAGTATGATGAAATTCTATAACAATAGAAAAGTATCAAGTTTCTGAGTTTGAGAGAAAATATCTGATCCAATATTTGGGGGTTTTCTTATGAACCTCTATCCCCAACATTTAGAACAGTATTACATTCCTAGGGCCATTCAAATACTTAGAGAAAACATTCTTTTCCAAGGATCAAGAAATAAGGCATTAGAGCATGTATGTTCTTCTAGAACTTACTTTTCTCAAGAAATTTCATGAATTATACCCCCAAATCAGGATGTTTGCACTAGACATATTAAGATGTAGAAATGTTTATCTCAGTATGCTGGATCACTCTGCAAAACTTTACGTTCTCAATCTGTGAAGTGAAGTTGTTGTACTTACTACAAGTACCAGGGATATAATGGGGATTAATGAAAATGAAGCAGCTCAAGAAGAGCCCAAAGAAGGAGCTACATAAAGTAAAAAAAGTCAATTAACAACAGGGGATCAGAATCAAACCCTGAGTCTTTAGGCTCAAAAGTAAGTCTTCTGACAACCTAAGAATATTCTCTACACACTCACAGTTTGTTTTATTATACAAGCCCATATGCATTTATAAAATCAGTCCAAATTTAGAAACAAGCTGAGGACATTTTGATGATGAGACTTACATCCAAATGGTAAATACTGAGATCTACAAGCATACGTCCAAATGAAAGATAAAACACTGTTACCTTTCTGTACCTATGAATGCTGTTTTCTTATAGTCATTTATCAAGGTACAAGCACTGGTTGCCTTATAAAATGCCAACTATAATAAAAGAGGCACAAGATTCTACACTTGCAGATTTACCTTTAAAAAATCATTTTAAAGCTTTTAAATTCTTTATTCTGTCTCTACTATTCAGAATAGTAGCAATCACCAGGAAAAAGCGAAATGTTTGGCCCACAAATTCTAAGAAGCCATGTCTTAAATGATCACATATATCTGTGTGAACTCTAGTGCTTACATTATATGTTTGTGCGTGCGTGTGCGTGCATGTGTGTGTGATGTGTACCTTTATCTCTAACTCACTCTATGCCAACAGGACAGGGAAAGGGTCCTGAATTCAGAATAAGATAACATAATAGGGATGCTCAGTCCTCTACTAAATATGTTGACTGTAAACTCAATTAGGAGCAGTGAAGGACCAGGGTTGAAAAAAAAAATGAGGCACCTGTGAAAGATCTAAGCAAGCACACCACAGACTGAGAAGGGGAGATGAGATTGACTTCTCAATGATGATTAGAGGAGGGCCTTTCCCTCACCAATCCCATGGTGAGGGGAATATAAAAAGAGATACATGAACCCTGGACAGTGTGGCTCAGTTGGCTGGGCCTTGTCCCATGCACCAAAAGGTTGAGGGTTTGGTTCCCAGATCACATGCCCAGGTTTTGGGCTTGATCCCTTATAGCTAGTGTGCAGGAGGCCACCAAGTGATGTTTCACTCTCACATCAATGTTTCTCTCCCTCTCCCTTCCTCTCTCTCTAAAAATCAATAAAAATATATTTTTTAAGAGACGCATGGCCCGACCAGTGTGACTCAGTGGTTTAGCCCACGTACTAACAAACCCCCCCCAGTTCAATTCCCAGTCAGGGCACATGCCCGGGCCTTGGCTCAATCCCCAACAGGGGGCGTACAGGAGGCAGCCAATAGATGATGATGTTTCTTTCTCATCAATGTTTCTCTCTCTCTCCCTTTCCCTTCCTCTCTCTCTAAAAATCAATAAAAACGTATTTTTTTTTAAAAATTAGAAAATGAAAAGAGAGGCATGAACAGTTTAGCTATATATAGTTCCCCACTATAGACATGTAGAATGTCCATGGAGAATCATTACATAATTCAGACTTGGAATACATACTTTCTACACAAGCCTCTAATTTTTAAAAATTGTTCATAGTGTCCAAAATGCACAACTATACAGTTCTACCAGATTTATCAAACATATACTAAGGTCAGGTTGGAGAACTACATCAGTCAATTTTCATTCTCTTGATTTCAAGAAACTATACTTTTCTAGAAAAACCCTTTAATCCTAGATTTCATACTAACAGGAAGTTTCACTCTGCTGCTGTTATTGCAAAATATTCATCTATAATATTTCCCACCAGTGTTAATATAGATGCTCTCCCAAAAATACAGAGTGGGACAAAAGTAGGTTTACAGTTGTGAGTACACAAAACACAGGTTATTTTTGTATTAATTTATTATTTTTGTATTATTTTCCATCCAAACAACTGTAAACATACTTTTGCCCCATCCTATACAAACTATAATCTACAAGCTGGTTTTCCATCAGTAAAGACTATAATAACATATCAATAAATTACAAAGTATCAATACTTGCACCATTTTTTAAAGTTAAGACCTGGAAGAAAACATTTCTACCATCTCTTCTTAAAATTAAGTGGTAGGAAGAAAACATACACACCCTCTCCAAATATTTGACACGAGTGGACTAAAATTCACTAAACAATTAACATATTCCAATGATAAACAAAGAGTAGTCTGGTTTAACATTTCTATATTTGCTTTTTTGGTATTTATTATTTTTTAAAACTAACACATTGTTTTTATCACAGGCTTCAGGTGTTAATGTTGATGGGCCCAGCAACACATTACTAATGAACAATTTGCTTAAATGTCTCCTGGTCATTTCATAATCTTGTCTCCTGTTAAGACTCAAATAAGTAAGTTTAAGAGAAAAGTCTGTGATATTCTATTCTTTTTATGATATCTTCTAATACAAGTCTGGACAAGCAGCAGAGGCTTAATAAATTAAACAAAAGTTAATTTCAAGACTTAAACATCTTTATGAGAAAAGTTCTTAGTAACAAAACTTAAATTTTTTTTTAATGATTAGATTGAAACAGGAAAGTCAAATAGCCATGATCTGAATTCTTCATTGCTGGCATTGGCTAGTTAATGAATTTTAGCTAGGAGACAGACAGACAGATGATTATAAACTCATATACCTAGTGATTAAGAATGCAAAGATATAAAATCTTCAATTTTCAATTATCCATGCAAAGGAAAGGGAGAAACAGCATGTAAAACAAAGAGGAAAATAATTCACCCACTTAAGTAACAGGAAACTCTGACAAGCAGTACTGTGACCACTGCCACGCAGGTCCTAATCCAGGAGAAGCGAGACCACGTGCACATACAATGTGGATGAATAGAACACAGGTAACCAGAGGTCTGCTATAACTATCCTTGCAGTATTAGCATTCTTTCTCTTAAAAATTAAAACCTCTATAAGCAGTTTTTATCTAAAAGTTCAAAACAAAAAGCTTCCATAAAAAGAAACAAGGTGATTTCCTAGACGAAATACATTAAGACTTGGGCTTACTATCTCTTTCTGCCAGAGTTTTCATGAGAGTAATTAATTGAAAAGGAAATCTAGGGAAGAATTCAGAATCACTTTACCGAACATGCACCAAGGTCTATACCTTTGTCATGAACTCCTCCAGCTGCTCTACAAACTGCCTGGTCTGCTGCTGAATAAACTGCTCACAGGCTGACTTCAGATGACGGTCTACGTCTTTTTTAGAGTCAAGGTAATGTTCTCTTATCTCAGGAGTGCCCTAAAAAAGATGACAGTTTCCTACTGTTTTCACATGTTTAAAATTACCAGACATGTAAAAGAATGTCATTTATCTCCCACCACCAATGAAACAGATTCCTTCTCACCTCCAACAGGAATTCTATCAAGGCATTGTTGCTATTCAGCCTAAAAAATCTTGGAACAGTCATAGGGTTCAGGATTTTAAATGCTGCATCTGTGAAAAAAAAATTACTCATCCAGTGAACATGTACAATGTCAACAGAAAAGCTGAGTTACTATTCAGTGTGTTAACATGCACTAGTTCTCTATTACCAGAAAGTAAGAACAGTTTCATTTTCACCAATTCAGCTCCATGATGACAGTGAGATTAGTGCCAAGATGACCAGAGTACCCACCTATCATTATTTTCTAGAAGTCAGAAATGCAAAATGACTATTAAACTTAATTATTCATTTATAGAAAAATGATAAATAGTAATTGATATCTTAAAATTCCACTGCTTTACTCATATGATGCTAAATAGATTTTTTTTTTTTAATATTCATATACTTACCCGACTTCTTTTAAGATCCTGGCTGGCATACAAATTTATTCATTTGAAGCAGAGTGAATAAACTAATGTGTCAGCCAGAAAGAAAACACCAAAAGGACATATTTACCCCTTAACCTCCAGACCAACTAGAACTTATGTCAAATATTAATCGAGGTCTCATTGATGTTCAAATGCAATAAGATATAACATTAGTCATGAGAGGTTAGAGGCTTAAAAGTAAAGATAGCAAGTATTATTAAGGGATAGTCAGAAAAGGCCATTTCTTTTCTTTGTTTTGCCAGACTGGAGAAAGCAAAGCATGCAATGCTGCCAACCGTGCTATTATCACAATAGTACTTACTGCCCTGACCCTGATCTTACTGAAAAAGAACCTCGCTATCAGATTCAGTGTTCAGAGTAAGGCTTTAGTGAATAGCTCTTTGTTTCTGCTCTCTTTTCTACAAAATACCTAACAGAGTGTCTGCAAAAAATAGAATCAAATCAGTATATGGTAGGATTACATATGCTTTAGGGAAAACATACTTTAAACCAATATTTGCCAAAATTTTAGGGTACTTCATTTTCCTACACTTCAGTAGATCTATACTAGAACCCAGCAGCAACAAGTTATGAATTTTAAAAAATGAAAGGAAGTAGATCAGCCCTGCTTTATCCCATCACTAAAATAAAGTAAGGACTATCAGTGCCTGGCATTCTTCAAGGTTAAGAGCACTATTCCCACATCTCCTACTGAAAAGAAAGAAAATCATATAGAATGGTTGAGAGAGAGAAGCTTATGATGAGAATAAGCTCTAAAAAACTATGCATTCTCTCAGGACAAAAGCCAGGAAATCTGGCTTCTGTTTAAAAAAGAAAATCATGAGGTATATGAGTAACATACAAGTTTACTATCCAAATTCCAATAGAGCCAAAGAGCATCCTCTGTGGTGGAAAGAAGAAAGCATTAAGAAAAGAGCAAACTGTTTTAATATGACTCATGAGGAGACCACGCTGGCTCTCAGGTGAGTTAAATCAAGTCTACTAATTTAAAGGCACAGTCATTAGGGAACAATCTACTATCCTTGGAAATCCTATATTTGGAGTTCCACTGAACCACAGAATACAGAAAATAATTTGAGTGACTATGATTTTTCTCAATTCCCCTCATTACATAAATGAATGGCTTAAGTCATTAGAGTTTAAGTCTCTTGCAAATGGTTAAGAAAGGATATAGTTTAGATAATTCTGTAAGTAAGAAAAATGAGGGATATGTGTGGTATATTCTTCACTGCTTAAGATCAATATCTTAGAAAATTACTACTCTGTTCTTCTAGAAATCATCACTTATTAATTCAGAGACAAATGATTAGGATAGATGAGGCATCTTTACCAAGATGATCCTAAGTCTATTACCAACTCAAAGACCCTACCTACATGATTACTTAACAATCAACTGATTTAATAATAACACCACTTACATTAATTTAAACACCTTAAGCTTACAAAGCCTTTAACATACATTTTCATTCTTAATGATCTTAACTAATTTGACAACCTGGTAAAGGTATCATGACATGTTGATTATGCTCATTTTACCTGGCATACGAAAGTTAAAACATCCATCCAAGATCACACAAGAGCCAGGAAATGATGAGCCAGGAACAGAACCCAACTTTTTCAGACTAGAATAAATACTCTTCCTCTTTTATCCAGCTGGCTTCCTGAATTTTCATGAACTGACATCTCAATGTTTAAAACCATCCCAATTAGCAGAAACTGTAAGTAGCTGTTATACTGATTTTTCATTTTTTAACTGGTTATGATAGTACATGGCAGAGTCTAAGAGAGGTAATGCTATACTACAAATTGAAATGCTCAGACATAGTTCCCTTCAAAAAGAAAATACAGCAAGTTAGATGTAATTAGGATGTTGACAGCTCAGCTTAGTATGAACAAGTAACATGCTTAGCAAGCACAGCATGCAAAAAAATTGCAGATGAACATAAAGTAAACCTATAACCTGTGCTGATACATTTGGACAGGTCGAAATGTGCCAGCCAGGACAATAAAGTACCTCTAGTTTTCTTGAGGTCCAGGGAAATTTCCTTAATGGTGAATTCAGTGTGAAATGGAGCAATTTGTTCACGAAGAATCAAAAGATGCTTTATTAAAAAAAGTTGTCCATCAATCTGAGTCTAAACGATAAAACAGAAAAATGGATATTATCACAGATTAAATAAAAATATGAACATATAAAACATATACAATATTAATCAACATTAATCTAAGTGTTTGGAGCCTGACCTAACTTTTTTACTCTTAACATAACATTATGGCACCAACACTCCTTTCTTGTGCAATGAACTCTCCCCATATTATCCAGATTAGAACTATTTGGAAAAATCTTGCTTCAAATTATTACTAACACTGTCACCTGCTCTACTTAGTAAATCAAAGAAAGTAAAATCAGACAGAAGGTTGTAAAGCAACACAGTCAGAAAGAGAAGTCAAACCTATCTTAACTTGGTGCAAAAGCAGAGGAGAACATGCAGTCTAACAGCAGCACAGAGCAGGCAAAGTATGAGCACAATTCTGACCTCTCATGCCTTTTTAGCTTCTCTTCTGTAACTCGGCTTTCACTATTTGGTCAAAGTGGTTTCAAAATCCAGAATATCAGAAATACTCATATTTATACAAAAGTACAAAAGGAGCCTCCAAATGTACATTGATTTGGGCTTACCACTTATCCTGCCACCAACAGAGCACTGGCCACCTACACCCCTGAAAAGTCCCTGCAGTGCCTTTTGCCCTCTCAGGACCCATCCACAAGAGTCTTGTGAATCACTCTTAGTTCTCAAAGCTCTGGCCCCAACAGTGAATAATCATCTCTCATTTCAGAAAAGAGTCTGTATAAAACAAGAGCAAGGCTGTTTGCTCCTTGTTGCTGCTACTCAAGATAGAACCCTACCTTGAAAATATTTCCAATGGAATTATACTACATTAGGAAAAGAGTAAAGAGGCTATGAAACAAAGTGACTCCTCTCTGGTCTCTCCCCACCTTCCAAATAAACACATAAGTATTACTGATGGAAACTAACTTTGCACTCTGGAACAGAAGGAATGCCGCACATTTTGAATACTTGCTCTGCTTTTAAAAGAACTAGCAACTCCAGGCCTGGCTGGGTGGCTCAGTTGGGTGGAGTGTCATCCTGTACACCAAAAAAAGGTTGCGGGTTCGATCCCCAGTTGGAGCATGTTCAGAAAGGCAAGCAACTGATATTTCTCTCGCCTTGACATTTTTTTTCCTCTCTCTCTCTCTGTCCCCATTCCTCTCTCTGAAATCAATAAACATATCCTCGGGTGAGGATTAAAAAATAATAAAAATTAAAATTAAATTAAAAAGAAAAAAACTAGGAACTCCAATGGACAAAATAGTATAATATAGATTCAATTTACTTTACTAAAACTGTTGTGATCCAGCAAATAGTACCATTTTAGTTTATTGATATACTACTAGATGTTCAATTTAAATATGTAAGAACAATTTCTTGCCTTAAAACACTCTCNATTCAACCCACACATGCAACCCATATACATTTAGTTACTGTAAATACACTATTTTCAAGGCGATGAAGGAAGCTATCAGAGGATTTGTTAAAAGTGTTGGGTCATAGTTCATGACAGATATGGCCCAGTAATGAGATAACATGTATTGACTTAAGTTGGACAGTGATACCATCTTTGCTCCAACCTGTCATCACTATAGGTATAATGTGCACGCATTGAAGCCCTTGTTGACAGTGAGGACTCAGGCAGGTGGCTCTACTGTTGTTGTTCTTCTTAGGCCCTGGGCATGTAGGTTGTACCCAGCTTATAGAAGTACCACTTCCTGAATGTTTAATGTCAGTTCTCAACTGTGGTCAAGTGAGTGGATCAGCCCAAGAGTCTGGGCTGAACTGGCCCACTTCCCTAACGCATGGTTTTGAAATTTGTTTAATGGGTTCATTGCTCTTTGAGAAAGAGAACCAGTTTGGTCTTTTCTTTCCAAGGAACACTAATAATAATCAAAAGGCGGCCTACAGAAGAAGGACGAGTAAATGTTGATGAGTCAATAGGCCTTGGGTAGGGGCCTGTGGAGGACATGGAAAGACAAGTAGGAGGAAAAAATGAGTTTCTTTGAATATGTCTTTTCAAATATGTCTTTATTGATTTCAGAGAGAGGAAGGGAGAGGGAGAGGGAGAAAAAAACATCAATGTGAGAGAGAAGCATCTATCAGTTGCCTCCGAACCCACAACCTGGGCATGTGCCCTGACCAGGAATCAAACCGACAACCTCTCAGTGCATGGGGCGATGCTCAACCAACTGAGCCACACTGGCCAGGGCACACTGATCACTGTCTAAAAAAAATCAAGGAAGCATTTGAGATCTGGTTCTCTGGCATATGTCGTCAGTTTGGCTCAAATAAACTCTTTTTAAAATTCTATGCAGGTTTAGACATTTTTTATATCAACATTTAGTTGACATAGCAGGATTCCAAAGAAGCCCACTCAGCAGCACCCTGTGGACCTGGACCTGGTGCTAGGTACAAGCAAGGGCCCACTGTGCCCCACTAGCTCCCCACTTTGCACTGGGTGAACTTGGGTGAGTTTCTCTCAAAATTCTGGGCCTCCTTGCTTCAAGCAGCAGCAGGCCCTGACTCTATTTGAACTGTTCTTAGAAAACCCTCAGGTGGTAAGGCTTGACATAATTCAAGGAAAGGGAAAAAATGGGGTACTGCTTTTAATCTCAGCTTTTTCATTGGATTGCTTACTGAGAATATGAACAAGATCTTCCCAGGTTAAATGAGACTGAACTCTCTTTAGCTCCAAAAGAGAAAGGACAGTTGCTTCCCCAACCCAAACAGCCAATGGGGTGATGATAGTTGCTCAGACCCCAAAACCAGTGATGGAGAAGGGTACCTGGAGTTGTCTAGTGCAGTAGCACAACTGATCCCAGAGACGACAGCGGGAGCCTTTGGGAGAAGGGCAAGGCATCCTGCAGTGGGCTCACTCCAAGAGAATGAATCAAGAGAGAGGCCTGTGCCTTGGAAAGAGTAGTGGTTCTGGCAGCATCTGGTAAGCTCTCTAGCCCTTGCTCAGGTATTCTTAGGTGAATAAGAAATGCTGTGGGGTTGCCTGAGGAAAATTTCCTCTAGGGTGCAAAGTAGTCCTACAGGGATATTTACTGTATTTGGCTCATGCACATACGGGCTAGTTTTCCTAGGAGTTTGTTCAGAATTTACAGATCTCAAAATTAACAGGGGAGCCCTGGCCAAGTGGCTCAGTTGGTTGGAGTGTCATCTCCTACACCAAAAGGTGGCGGGTTCAATTCCCAGTCAGGGCACATACCTGGGTTGTGGGTTCGATCCCCAGTCTGGATGCATACAGGAAGCAACCGATCAGTCCTCCTCTCTCACATCCATGGATCTCTCTCTCCCTCCCTCCCTATCTCTCTAAAATCAATAAAAACATATCCTCGGTGAGGAAAAAGAAAATTAACAGGGGAAATCATGCCTCTGAGGCCAACAACAGTCAGCCTCCCATTAATACCAAGATGGCCAAGATCCTTTGATACTTGTAAATTAATCTGCTTACAATTAGAAAAAAAAACTATAAAATTAGGCAGAAAGAATAGAAAGCATATTTAATTGGTCTCTTAAAGCTTCAAAAAGAGGATTTACATAAATGGATCAACCTATGTTGTTTAGGTGTCAACCCAATCCTTTGAGGTATTAAAAATGGCTGTCCTGCCCAGCCGGGCGTGGCTCAGTGGTTGAGTGTCGACCTAGGATCCGGACGATCGGGGTTCAATTCCTGGTCAGGGCACATGCCCGGGTTGCGAGCTCGATCAATGACTTTCTCATCATTGATGTTTCTATCTCTCTCTCTCCCTCTCCTTTCTTCTCTCTGAAATCAATAAAGATATATTTTTTTAAAAAATTTTTTTAAAAATGGCTGTCCTATTTTAAAAGGGGGAAGGTCATTTAGATCTTGATTTGTCAAGGACAGATACAAATTGGAAGTTTCTCTAAAACAAAATTTGGATCCAACTGTTCTCTATTTGTGTCTATCTATGTATGTCTGTATATGTATGTTGTAAATGTGAGGTAATTTTCTATCTCCAGATGGTTATTGTTAAAATTAATTTAAAGGCAAGTGCTTGTAAGGACTGGGTATTCTAAAATTCTCAGAAATATAGAAACTAACTCAAATGCTTTTCAGGTTCACATGATCTAAAATTAACCCTTAGTAAATAAAAGCTAATTTAAGCTTATTGGTTTAAGTAAAATAGACATATCTTTATTTTACCTGGGTTTTACAAAAATAAGTCCATGTTAATAATTGACATTGATCTCTATAAAATGTTTCCAGAAGTTATAAAATGTCCTCATAAATTAGCCAAGCTAAAGAATACAAATTGCTTACTTCTTAATATTCATTAGAAATTGAGATTTTAAGGGTTAAAAATCTCAATATGTGTAGAAATAACTTTGGAGTGTTCCAGAAGGGCCCCTGGAACACCTCGAAGGATTTTTTTTATGTTGAATTGCACGAGAAACATTGTAAAATAACTGAGGAAAAACTTCTAGGGTATATTATATGGGTAAAAGATGATTGTAAATAAATAGTTGGGGCTACAGGAAACCAACAATGGCTACTTGGTTCTTTGCCTGGCTCCCTGGCAAACCCATTTTTTGGTTTTTACATTCCTTTATGCATCATAGCGCATTTAAGCTGAACTGAGATGAAGGAAGTTAGGAGCTGACATTATTGAAAGGGAGACATAGTAAACTACTGCCAAGGTTTGAGAGAGTCACTTAAAGAAAATGTCCAGTTGATAACCAATTCCCTTCACAATGAGCTCACAGGAGACAAAGATTTTAGATATTATTTTTTAGAAAGAACATCAAATGAGACACTCTGCAATCCTGCTGGAAGAGAATTTATCAGGAACATAACCACAAATGGACATCTACCCATCTCTGACACTCGCCTCCACCAATGGGCATTAAAGACTCCTCGAGGATTAGAAGCCGCTAACATCAGAGGTAGACACCTATCCCAAGACATGAACAAGGTCTGTATACCTACTGATTGATATTGAACTCAAGATCCATTTTGCTTGACTGTCTTTACTTCTCTGCTAATGATATTAGTCATAATAAGAGTTATACCTGTTCTTTGGGTTTTTGTATATAGTTCAACTTTATGATTACCGAACATGTGTAAGATAATTGTTATTACCCTTTTCAGGGCTTATGTAAATGTTATACTAGATGACAAATACAAAAAAATAGAACTTGGCAATTAGGCAAAACTCAAACATGAAAGTTCACAGAACAGAAATGATCCACAGTGTCTTATTCGCAACGAAGTCCATAAGACCTGACTGCCTTCCATTTAACTACCCTTCCCTTTCTGGGAAAAATTCAGCTTCAACTTAGATCCCATGATTATGGTATTGCCTCATCCCCAATGGTCAACGAGAAAACATCAATACTGAGCCTCTCTAGGAATGAGCGTTCCTAGAGCTGTGAGACTACACTATCCAACCATCAATGCATCCTTTGGATTGATTTATAACCAAAAGGGGGAACTGTGGACAAAAATAGGGGGTCTATGGAAAGTAACCTCAGGATCATCTGATCATAAATTCCTAACTAGGCAGGTCATGGTGGGTAGTCACAACCCAGGAATACAACTTCTTTACTAAAAGGAATATCTTTGCCTTAAGAAAGTCCTACCCACTGTTTCTGTGAATCTAGGTTAACATACTTTAAAATACCTCTTTTCAGACCCTTCTTTCTAAGATGTAACACCCTTAAGAAAGCAAATAATCTTAACTGTCCTGTAATCCACTCCTCACTTTGCTTTCTCCCACCTTCACGTAATCTTCCCTTACATATCTTCCTTAATTGCAAATGCGAAAAGAAACTGCAAAACTGTTATTCTGCAGAGCATTTGGGAACTTACTCCCTGACATATGTCATCAGTTTGGTTCAAATAAACTCTTATTAAAAAATAAAGCTCAAAGGCCAAAGTATACAAACTCAGCCACCATGAAAACAAATTTGCTCATGCTTACCAAACTGAGTGTTTCCTCATACATACTTAAACCCCTTATAATACGCAGGAAACTGAATTAGATAAAAGAGGCAATGAGGGTAAAGACTAAATAATCATAGGACTCTTCACTCCTCCCTTAGAAAAAGAGGACAGTGGTATAAGAGGACATAAGCATATGAACTTTTTTTTAAATTAGGACATTTTTTCCCCTCCTGATGATCTAATAAATACATGCTCATTATAGAAAATCTGCAAAATTAAATAAGTGTAGGGAAAGGGAGGAAAAATCATCCACGGTCACCCAAAAACTTTCATGTTACATTTTTTAAATGTATGTTTTCATTACAGAGTTATGTGTATTTCACCAATTATAAAAAATATTGCCCTGGCCAGTGTAGTTCAGTGGTTAGAGCCTCGACCAAAGGCATACCAAAGGGTCAAGGGCAAGTACCTGGGTTGCAGATTTGATCCCTGGCCCAGTCGAGGTGCATGTGGGAAGCAACCGATCGATATGTGTCTCTCTCATCAATGTTTCTCAACTCCCCTCCCTCCCCCCGCCCCTGCCATTCCTTCCACTCTTATCTAAAATCAATGGGAAAATATCCTCGGGTGAGGATTAACTAACTAACTAACTAACTAAATAAATAAATAAATAAATAAAAGCTCAGACTTGGAAATACTTTTTCTCTTTTTGTTAATCCTCACCCAAGGATATTTTTTTCCCATTGATTTTTAGAAAGAGTGGAAGGGAGGGAGGGGGAAAGAGAGAGGGAGAGAGAGAAACATCAATGTGAGACAGACATATCAATTGGTTGCCTCCCACAAGCGCCCTGACTGGGACCAGGGATCAAACCTGAAACCCAGGTACATGCCCTTAACCAGAAATGGAACCTGTGACCCTTTGGTGTGCAGGCTGATGCTCTAACCACTGAGCCACACGGGCCACAGCAGGAAATACTTTTTAGAACTTAAATCTGCCAGTCTATAACTTAACTTTCTATCCTCTTGTAGTGCCCATATCAAAATGTCATTTCAATTCTCCATTAGACAAATGGGAGAACACAGTGGTCACAAACAAAGGTAAAACTTTTCAAGCAACCAGATCCCAAATTATTTTGTGAGATTTGTGTGTTTTTTTAATTTGTCTAAAGCCTTGAAGTTAGAAATCAAGTTTGTAAATCTGGAAGTCCAGAAAGGTTAATAAGGTTTGAACATTCCAAGCAGCAAACAAATCTTGGCTGGAAACAGCCCCACGGGTCCCTCCCTGTAGGCAACAGGTATTTTAAGTGAAGAGTTAGCAGAACAACACTTTCAACCATGCTGTACTTCCAGAAAAAAATCTCAGGGGCCGTGGAAGAAGCACATGGAAGCAGTTTTCAGCCCCAGATCCCTTCCTGATTAAAACTGTAAGTCACAAAGTCATGGCCAGTACTTCTAGTCATACAATCCATGGGCCACAATTGCCTGTCTTCCAAACTGGCTGATTTCCTCCAAGTGAGGCCATTCAATTACTTAAAACACCATTGTAAAATAAAATAAAACAAAACATCACTGTAGAAATGATTATAATTTGCTATGTTTCCTTGAAAACCCTGTTGGTATTCCAAGGAAATAGCAGTCCAGAACCTCCTCAGTTGCTAAGAATATAACAAGAAACTTTTATCCTATAGAATTTATAACCTAATTATTATTTTTGGTACTTTAGCAAACTTGGAGTTCTCTTACACAGTATAGTCTTTATTTAGCACTACAATGAAATACTAGCTTCTCTCAAAGGGCCTCAAAATTAAGTCATTAATCAAAGAAATCCTACTACCAAAATGCCTTTAAATCGATGTGCCTATACATAAACGCTATATTCCACATTATTATAGGTAAAAAGATTTCACCTAACACTTCATCAAACCTTGTTTTTGCTGATAGACTCTGATGCTCCAAGTAACGACTGAATGCAGGCAGACAAGGCTTCCTGTGATAATCCTTGGAACACTGCCCTCTGGTGAAATAAAAGAGAAACATCACCCTGTAGCACTTCACAAACACAAAAAAAGAAAAATCCTACGCTGAACACAGGGACAGGCTGCTTGACCTCATCCATTGGATTAATTTATATTACTGGCAACATTCCTCCTGGTATTTCCTATTCCTGTGCAACCTTTCTACTAACACATAGTTTTGTAATTTGCATCTCTCGAAACATTCATATGACCCTTTAAAGATATTTCCTGAACACCTATTTGATGCCAACTCTCTGTGCTAGGTGCTGGAAGTACAGTCAGTGGTGGGCAGACAAGGTTGATGTGGTTCTGACATCAGAGAGCTCTCACTCCAATCTGACCTCATGTTGTAGGCTATTTTTAAAATATATAAAACCAACCCTCAGTAAATCCACTTCTAGAAATGTATCCCAAGTAATTAACCGGTAGTGTATTGCAAGATTCACGCATGTGGCTCTTCATCACAGTATTATTTAAAACAGCAAAAAAACTGGAAATAACTTCCAGTTTGATGAAGGGGCTGACAATAAAATACAACACTGTGCATGAAATCAAAAAGTGCTAAAGGAGGTCATGAAATCCTATAAAATATAAGTAAAAAAAATTAGGTTACAAGATAGTATATTAAGTATGATTCTTAAATTAATTCTGTCATTTCTGTATCTTCCTAATTGTGTGTGTGGTGTGCTGGTCTGGGCAGGGACTCTTGTCAGTCCCCTTGCTTCCTTCTCTGCATTCATTCCACCCAAGACGGAACTGATATGGATGAACATGAGCAAAATATTTATTATTAGACCACAGCCCTGAGCCCTGGTCTCATACTTTATGCTGTTTTTCTTTTTGTTCCCTCTCATTTGCCATGAGGTTACTGTAGTAAGAAGAGATTAGGGCTGCCCTTTCCTAGGTGACTGACCCTCCTTTAGGAAGACTGAAAATCCAGCTTAGACTAAGACCCTCTCTTTTTCCTGCTTAGCCTTAATGGGGTTTTCACTGGATTTGTCTTTCCAAGCCTCTTGATGGGTAAGATAGAGAGGGATAAGATTTGAATGTAAGCTAGGTGAAAAAATAATAGGCAGGCCTAGGGCATAAAATAAATACAGGCACAGTGATGTCCTTGTGCCTACCTACTGTTTGGCTAAATCCCTGTTAAGAACCTAAGAGGCTTCACTAGGGCCTGTGATCACAATGGGTTCTATGTGGAATATGCCCCCTGCATATTTCCCTTGGGATCCTGGCTCCACTATAGGAAGTTTCTGAATCTCAGCATAATACCATCATTCAATACACCTACTAGGGAACCTGGGGAAAAGTAATGCCAGTGTCCAAACCTCCCTCTGGAAGAGACCTCATCAGCTGGGCAAAAAGGCTGAGACATCTAACTCTGTACTCTATAGAGGTGATCTGGCCTCACCTCTAAAAGCCCCAAAACTGGGCACCACTTACTTTGTGGTTGAATTGCAAAATCTCCAAGCACAAAATCCAACAACTGGGCAGTTTAAAATAGATACCAAGTAGTGTGCACTATACTGAGCCAATGAAAGAACTGTGCGACCTTGTCAGGCCCTAGGACTCAGTCAGAGCATCTCCATATTGAGAGGGGATACACATACACCTTTGACCCATACTCTCTTCTTTTTTTTTTTCTTAATCCTCACCCAAGGATATTTTTTTCCACTGATTTTCAGAGACAGTGGGGGGGAGGGGGAGAGAGAGATGTAAGAGAGACGTATCAATTGGTTGCCTCCCGCACACGCGCTGATCAGGGCCAAAGACCGAGCCTGCAACAGAGGTACATGCCCTTGGCCAAAATCAAACCCAGGACCCTTCAGTCCTTGGGCTGATGCTCTAACCAGAGCCAAACTGGCTAGGGCTGACCCATATTCATAAGAAATAGTAGCATCAGGACAATTAATTACATGACTTGTATTTAATCGCTTCTCTCTTTATATGCTATTTGGGTTGTAACAATCAAATTAATTTTTAAAAAATGAATTCAAACCACTGAATTTTGCCCTGGCCAGTATGGCTCAGTTGGCTGGAGCATTGTCCTGTCCATCAAGGGGTAGTGGATTCAATTCCCATGCAGGGCACATACCCAGGTTGCAGGTTCAATCCCCAGTTGGGGTGCATATGGGAGGTAACCAATCACTGTTTCTCTCTCACATCAATGTTTATCTCTCCCTCTCCCTCCCTCTCTCTCTCTTCCCCCTTCCTCTCTCTAAAATCAATAAAAATAAAAAAATAAAAACACACTGAATTTTATAAATTACTTTGGTTCAGCAACAAACCACTAATTGAAAATAAATGTAGACAAATATGATCTTTCAGGGACTGATAATCTTAAGATGAAATTCTTAAAATAACTATTACCTGAAATCAATGCACAGTATAAGTTGGTGCTAAAAAAAAAAAAAAAAAAAAAAAAGGTGGAAAGGAGAGGGTACTGCTAATTTCAGCAAATAACTAAAATCAGTCCATGGTTAGAAAAACATATAATCTTAATACTGCTTGTTAAGGAAGCTGACTTACACTGACTTACACTAAATTAAAGTAGTTGCATTTAATACTAAATCTAAATACTAAATGAATATTATACCTATGTGACATTGGATATATCACTTAACCTTTCTGCAACTCTTTTTATTCACCTATAAACTAAGACAAATTAATTAATCCATAGTTTTAAATTTATTTGCAGTCAAAGACCCCTATAAAAAAAACACACACAAGCTATAGCCCTTCTCCTCAGAAAGACACAAATACAAGCATACATATACAATTTTGCCCACATCATCAAGGTGTTCACAGACTACCCAGAGCCCATTAGTGGATTCTAAGGATCTACGGAATGCTCAGGCTAAGAATCCACAAATTAGATTGACCTTAAAATTATCTCTATATCTAAAAACCATGATTATAATCTAATACCAAACAAAATATTTTATCAAAATCTTAAAATTTAAATTTAAAAACATTTCTAATGAAAGAGCAAGCAATTTACAGTAAAGATGAAGAATTTACACACGTACATCTATGCATCTGTACAATTTGGAGAGACAGACAAGAGTGCGTCGAACTGTAGGATACCACATTCCATGAAGATCTGCTGGAGAAATTGTGGTCTGTGGTCTAGGATTGAGAGATTCTGTTGAACCTAAAAACCCAAATGGAAAAGAAATCACATTTCACACACATGTAGGTTTGTCTTATTTACATAGCAACTATAAACTGTTCTCATTAGCTACCATTAGCTGGAGGCATCTGCTTTCTCTAGCCTCACCTTGGCCAAGAATGCCAAAGAAACCTAAATCAGTGACAGGTGAGATTTAACATATATGTATGTGGGGTGATCTTATATAACCCAAAGCATCAACCATTCCTCAATCTTTACCTCTAAACCAGTCACCCTCTTTATAGTTCTAGAGTAGCATTGTCCAACAGAAATATAACGTGAGCCATAAATGTGACATTAAAATTCTACATAAAAAAGGTAAAAAGAAACAATTGCAATTAATTTTAATATATTTTATTTAATCTGATATATCCAAAATATCATCACTGTAATATGTAATCAATATAGAAATTACTAATAAGATATTTTCCATTCTTTATTTCCTAAGTTTTTTAAATTTGGTGTATATTTTACACACTTGTGGCACATTCAAACTAGCCACATTTCACATATGCAATGGAAAGTGGCTGCCATATTGGACAACATGGTTCTAGATCCATATAACACAGATATGCTCTCTGTTATTCCATATGGACCTTACTCAATCTTCCTTGGCCCCACACCTAGTGTGTCATCAAATTCTGTTGATTCAAACTTCAACCATATCCTTCATCTATACACTTCTCTCCATCCCTGTCACACCATGGTTCAAACCACTGTTCTTTCAAAAGAAACAATCTCCTAACCAGTCTCTACAGTTCTACCAACAATACCTTATTGTAAAGCCAGGTATCAGTTAAAGAATAGATTTGGGGGGAGAGAAGGGAAAACATACAAGGCCAGGGTTGATAAAATAGAAATGTATTCTAGTCTCTCCAATAGCTCTTGAAGAGATTTACTAGGTATATACTAGGACTAAGATACATATTAGAACCAAGATATATACTAGCACCAAGAGAAATAGTAGGACATGGCATGGATTCTATTTCAGAGGACAAAGTTCCAACCTGCTGTGCATCTCTCTTCCTAGCAAGCAAAATAAAATGGCTCTGTCAGATGGGGAATACCCAGGCTGCTTGGCAATCTGGATTTGGGGTACCAACTGTTTATAGAATTGACTCAGAATACTTGATGATGCCCTAAACCTGGGGACTTGGGGGCAGCTGGGGCTCTTTAAAGTCGATGGAGTTTCAGTGTCCCCCACTCCCAGCCTGTGAAGAGCAGTTTTAGTGTGACATTTATGGCTGGGGGGCAGGGAGAAAGGACACCCCATTTCCCATCTAGATTATTGTCTAGGTAACTCAAGAGTACTCAGGGTTATTCTTGGACAAGTTTGCTCCTTGCATAACATATACCACAGTCCAAGTTTTCCCATACATTTCCATTATTTTTTACTCCAGTCCCAGGCACTCAATACATTTACATCAAACAACTTGACTTCCCAGAGCAGCCACAGTCTTCCAATCCTGCATGCCATCCTCCACGCTATTCTACCTTAAACAACCTTACTTCACCTGACTTCCTCATCCTCATCCTCATCCTCATCAACACTACAGCTTTCAGACGACACCTCTCACTGAACCCACCTTCCTGCACTCAAATTTCATCTCCCTCATAAACTTTTTCCCCTTCATAATTTTGATGCCCCTCTTCCATGGTGCAAGAGTGCCCTGTGCATACCTTTTATATGTCACCACTGAATTATGTCTGTGGCTGGTCAATCTCCCCCCACACTAAAGAGTGGGCTCCACAAAAACACAAGCTGTTTTTCATGCCTGGGATATGACAAGTCCTCAGGAAATAGAAGTTGGAAGTTAAAACATTATAACATACCAGATTTTGTTAGATTATTAGACTCTACTTCTTCTAACCGAACATCTGAAAACGAAGCTTCTGAAGGTACCTTCTTCTGTTCATCTTTTAAACTCTGTGCAATTTGCTATATAGAGAAATCAGAAGGAACATTAAAGAGTAGTTTTCAGCTGTTTGGCAATATGAATATGTTCTTTCTATAAAGTAAAAAAAATATTTATTAATTAATAAATGGACTAATTAAGAGAACTACACCAAAACAACACATGGAAATGAAAAAGTTAAATTAGAGTGTCTCTATTCTTATAAGCACATACATAACCTTTTCTGAACCACTAATTGCAGAACCACTATTGAGAGCTCAAATATACAAGATTCATATAAGAGGCATAATTTTCACTTAAGTTTAGAAAAAAAGTATTCAAATTTCAAATTTCATAAAGAAAACAAGGAAGGGAGGAAGGAATGAGAGAGAGCACAATTCTCTAGATCAGGCTGAGAAACAGACCTAGTCCTCATCATATAGAATCAAGGCAACTCCTGCAAATGGACTATCCATCTGCTCCCTGGAGTTATTATTAGCAATCCCCAGACACCAAAAGATGATTCCTACTATGAGCCTGCAGAATAATAAAAGCTGGATAAAAACCAAATAGTCCCAATATTATATACCCCAACCTACCATACACCTGGATCCCTGTAGGGTTGATTTTTACATATTACAAAAAAAAAAAAAAAAGTAGTATACAAATAATTAATATAACTACCCAAGACATAATAAATTTAAATAGAAGTCAGGAGGAAAAAATATAGGTTTAGGAAAACATTCTTAAAACAATAAGGGCATTAAACTAAATAGGCTGGCATATTTAAAACTGTTAGCTTTAAGAGAAACATACCTATCACCACAGCTATCAGTCTAGGCACTGAAACAGGTTAAGTTAAAATGCTGGTGAAGATTTGGAGCAACAGGGATGGGTTGATATACACACATATATTTCTTTGCTGTCATCTGAGAAGTCCCAGAAGCACTAACACCCCATAGCAACAAGTGCACCTAGTACCCAGCTCATGGCTTCTAATATCATTCTCCAATAAAAGGAGACAGAACTCCTTGAAGAAATAGCTGATTCTAGGGCTGAAGCAGGAAACAGTAAAAAAAAAAAAAAAAAAAAAGGAAAAAAAAAAAAAAAAAAAAA